TGCAAATTTTAAAACAAGGATAAAAAGATACAAATCGTGTTAGTTTTTACATAACTAACTTAACCTAACCTTTAATTAATTAGTACATTGTCTATTATTTGTTTAAGATGGTCCCTGGCAAGCAAGAGGTGAAACAATTTGGATGAAAAAATAAAACAGAATGCTAAGAAATCCTACCTCATATCCAGTCTTGATATGTGTGTAATTCTTGATTTTCCAGAACCACAAGGCTGAATTAGGTACCGGGAAGCCAAGACTATTCCCCGAACACCACCAACTAGAACGGGAGCATCAGTATGTTCTACAGAGGTTTCCACAACCACACAACTTCCTCGTGCCAAGTCACTCCTCCAACATCTGGCAGAAAATTTTACTTTTATAAGTTGGAAAAAAAATCCTCGCCTCATTTCTGTAACTTACCATACAAGCTTTAGGAAATGTTTCTCAATGTCTGTAAAAGTATAAAATTCAGATAGCTGAGGATATTTTAAATTTAACTTACATTTTATTTATCATGATTCATTAAAACTATTCTGATTTTTACAGTTTAACCTGGGTTTTCATATGCTCTAGTTGGAGAAAATTCTCTATAAAGTGTATTTTTGGGTGTCTGGAACGGATTAATTGGTTCCGTTCCAGACACCCAAAAATATTAAGAAAAAATACATTTTCTAAAAAATTTTCTCCAAATAGGGCATATGAAAACTGAGGTTCCACTGTATCTGCAAATAATAAAGTTAATCAAATATTTTTGTTACAATTTAAAAAATTGCTAAAACATATTGAGCCTTTAGCCATAATTTTAATTTATAGACTATCATTGGGGCCTTCCTCAAGGAAGGTACCTTAATGCAGGTGATGGAGCTCTCTGATCCAAGGAACTAAACCTAATTTTCTTATTCCCTAGGTGCTGCATGATTGTAATACAGTTGTACCCCGAGTTTCGAACTGCTCCCAACTCGACCAATTATGTAAGTGTATTATTGCAAGTGCTCTTATAAGTGTATTTTTGGGAGTCTGAAATGGACTAATCTAATTTACATTATTCCTTATCGGAAAAAATTAGTTCGGTAATGACACTCGAACAGCCTTCTGGAACTAAGAAAGTTCGAAACTCGGGGTCCCACTGTAATGTCAATGGGGTCTTGCATGAATTTGAAGCGCATTAAGTGTTGCTAACCAAGAAAAGAACTTATATATTCAAAATTAATATGAATTGCATTATAGTAGATAATCGTTTGCAGAAGGGATTATTTGTATATCCTTCCTCCGTAAGCCATGCATGCTGTAAGAGGCGACTAAAATGCCGGGAGCAAGGGGTTAGTGACCCCCTTCTGTATAAATTACTAAACATAAAAAGAAGAAAAACTTTCCCATTTTCTTTATCAGGTCACCTGCCTTGGTGGGAGATGGCCAGTGTTGAATAAAAAATTTGTATTATATATTTACAGTGCCTTTGGAATAGGGGATAATCAAGTTTGATCCAAGAAGGTAAAAGTAGGTTCAATTCTTTGAAGAGAGACTTGCCAGTGTGAAGGCACCCTTCCCTTGAAGAGATTATATTAAAGAAAAAAAAAGAGATTATTATAATCATGGGGAGCACTAAACCCATAGGATTATACAGCATGTGGGGGGGGGGGGATGGAAGGTATTCAGGGAACTGGAGCATAGATTCAATTCCCTACATCAAGAGCCCCTCACCAGCATCAAGGAACCTCCCTTGAGGGGAGAAAAAAAAAATTTCATAAATGTGCCAAAATTCAATTTTAGATAATGCATGTGTTTACAATAACAAAGGAACCTGGATGATCCCACTCAAGGTAACTAAAATATAGTTGATAACAATGATGGAAGCCAAAACCAGCACAGTAATTTCTTTACACCTAAAATGATCTAATTAAAAAGTTGTACTTTAATGACACCAAGTCTTAAACTGCTCTACCTTAGGACACAGTAGTCTACTGGGGGTCGTGGAGGCATAGAGTTGCACATATACTGGAAAACTTCAGCCTGGCGATCTAAACGACAAACTACTCTCCATTTCAACAGAGAATCATCCCATAAGTGCCTGAAAAATATACATGAAGTTTATAATGATCCATATAAAAATTACTGTATTAATACTTAATGAAGAAATTAAACTCTACATGTTATTTATTGTACAATAAATAACCAAAACAAAAGGGAATTTACCTTTCTCTAATAACACGATTCAGCAGTTCTGCTGGTGGAGCTTCTACTTCTGTGGTTGCTCGCCACAAGCGTAGTGGGTGACCATCTCCCACTTTGCGGTAAAGTATCTCTACGTGTGAATCAGCACAATTCATGTGTATCCATCCTCGAGTTCTGTAACACAATATTTTTTGAGTACATTTTCTCTTTAGTTACAGAATCTACTTTTTTCTAATTCCTTAAGAGAACACAAAAAAATAAAATAGTATTCCTGCTTATATTCTCTCAATGAGCTAGTAAAATGCAGAGTACATAATAATCAATAATTCGCCATGGCAAAAGTAAAGTTTATCATGAACTGTAACAGACTGAATAGCAACAACTTTTGCCTGATTAGATTCAACTCATACATGTAGTAGTATTAATTCTATGCTGCACATCTTTAATCACACCTTTTGCTGGTCATTTTTTCTTAATATATGCTATCCTCATCCCTTTCAGGGTCAGAACCTGATATGAAAATTGCTCTCAGGGTTTTGGAGAATTTAAAAAAAAAAAAATAAACTTTATGAAATGATATTCTTTTTCCAAAGGTAATGAAACTAAAAGTACAAAATTTGATGGAAAACTCATGGAATTACAGCGATCTTGGTGATATTTACACATCAGCAATTTTGCCCACTCTGAGCCCTATTTTTGCCAATTCCATTCTTCTATTGCTTTCTCTGTATTTGCTAGTATTGCTTCTATTCTAATAAATGAATACAAGAAACCACCCATTTCAACTAAGCAATAAAGTGATCAGAAATTGGCCAATTTCACACAAAATGCAAAAACTGCCAATTTAAAAATAGGGTCTGGAATAAACAATGTAGACATTCCTGGCACTAAAAAAACATTACCTCTGTTCAATTAGTTCATCCCAGGCCTCTCCTATAAATTTCTCTTTTTTTCCATTTGAATTTTTATTCCACAAAAATAGATTTACTGTTATGCAGACTACTGCACTGTTGTCATAACTGTATAATAATGTCAGCCTATTTGTGAACACTAGTTGGACACGTATTGAATGAGTGATGCAATTCGTTTTTCTCTGTATGCAAAAAAATTTAACTTTTTGCTATTTTGACTCAATTTCAATTACTTTCAGTTCTGAACCAAATCAAAATCATCTTTAATTCTGTAACATAACTTTCCATTCTATCAAATGAGACTAAAACTAATACAACAACCATAAAAAAACATAACGAAAATACATTGGGGAAATCACTGTTTTAAGCCAAAACCCCTATCACAACCCTGCATGCACTGCATGCTGCAGGAATTTTTTATACAGTGCACTCTTTTTGTATAGATGCATTCTCTCATATCTAGGCCCAAATTTACTGCTCACAGCTCATTGAGGGCGCTAAGCTCATCACGCAGAACAATGGGACCTACCCGGCTTCAAAGTCATAGTACATTGGAGGCCCACCCCAAAAGAGTTAACTCTTTGCTCGCTACATTTATATCCGATTCAGAAGATATTAAATTTTAGCACTTTCTATGAAAATAATAATAAAATGAATGACAGAATTTTTATACTGTAATTTTATCATCACAAGAAAACTTTAAAAATGAACTGTACATGGAGGTACAACAGTTTGAATATAATACAGTGGACCCCCGGTTAACGATATTTTTTCATTCCAGAAGTATGTTCAGGTGCCAGTACTGACCGAATTTGTTCCATAAGAAATACTGTGAAGTAGATTAGTCCATTCAGACCCCCAAACATACACGTACAAACGCCCTTACATAAATACACTTACATAATTGGTCGCATTGGGGGGTGATCATTAAGCGGGGGTCCACTGTATTGTGTTCAGAGGGCAGAGACTTTGTATTACAAGTCTGAATATAAAATTTGTGTAGTTTTAAATAATATAATTGGATAGCTGAATTTAATACTGTGTGTTTTAACTGTACATACTTGTCTCTTGCTTCCTTAAGTAGAGATGTAATGCAAGCATTCATATGGGAAGCCCAGTCTCCTTCCATGGTACTTGCACCTGGGGACCCATTACAACTAGATCCTCAAGGCACACTGGTTGGCTCTGCTCCAAATATGTAAATCGGCATTTTTGACAACATCTCTATGGGCACACACTGAATTTGGCTGACCTGTAAATAGTTCAAAATTACCATAGCTTACAATAACGAGTTATAAAACTGGGATCCATATTTCAATGTACAGTACTATAACATTACTGGGGCAATTTATAATTCCTTATTGAACAGTAAAGTTCCACTTATTCAGAAACTAATTAGTAACAGGAACTTTAAATTGCCCTATTAGAAATAGTCTCAAGATATGTCCTTGATTTATGCCCACGATACATGAAGGTTTCAGCCCTCATTCTCTTCCCCCATAAAACAGGAATGCTTAAGAAAAAAATAGTGCTGCATGATCCTTTCGTGTTTAGCATTTAAGACAAAAAAATGCAACCTCAAAACCCACATCCAACACAAAAAAAGAAAGTTTCAAAATCAGTTAATCACTTTCATCTGAAAGTATATTACAACATATTAACCCTATACCTAACATACAAAATTTGTGAATTGAGCTTAACAACTATAAACTAGCTGATTAATAGAAAGCAAAATCTACAACAGCACCCTAAGTAACCCTAGGCCAAATGTCAATCTTGTACAGGTTAAAACCCCTATGACTACTACAGGTTTATGCCTACAACAAACCCAAAACTGTACTTCTACATGTGATGTAAGATTCTACCTAGAAGATTGCAAGAGATCTCATGAGGGGCTGAATGACACAGGATATATAACTTTTTTGATAAAACACCAAAATCATGACAAACCACAAGCAACCATGACTAAAAACCATCTTTTCATGTACATACATAACTCAAGGTACAGACAAGATGTGCCATGCATACCCCCCCAAATACGCTTTCTTCTTTCAACAAAGTGGCCATATCCCACCGAGGCAAGGTTGACTAAAAATGAAAAACAAAAGTTTCTCTCTTTAAATTTAGTAATGAAATTCAGAAGTGGAACGGAATTCGTCCTCTGAAAAGTTATGGTTTTTGTAAGAGCAACTAAAATTCCAGAAGCAAGGGACTAGTAACCTCTTCTCCGTATACATTACTAAATTTAAAAAAGAGAAACTTTCGTTTTTTTCTTTTTAAAAGCCACCCTGCCTCAGTGGGATATGGACAGTTTGTTGAAAGACAATATATATATACAGAAATTGGGAGTAAAAGCACTCTAGAAAGTGTAATTGGTATTATTTAGGGGTCAGAAATTTACTTCAATTCATATTGTAACTTCTTATTTTAAAGTTTTATTAATAAAATAAAAAATACATTGTTTTTAATCATGCTAATAAAAACAAAATTTATTTAGTACCTCTTTCCCCCCTAACCATCAATTACTGTATCTTACCCACACCCTCATTCCCTTTAGACTGAGTAATGAACTACGTATAAAAAAAAAATCAAGTGACAACAAAATGCAAGACTTCAGACATAAACTTATTTACTACTGAATTCTTTTAACCTCCGGAAACCAAATATAATCGTTACTGTATTCATCTATTGTTACGGAATTTGTGGGAAAGCACCAAACTTGTATGGGTTACACAGCACCAGGGGGTTGCAAGTAATCAAATTCAAACAAAAGGGAAAGGGGAGGATAGATCCAATTCTCTGGGTCAAGAGCCTTTCACCAGCATCAACTGTCCAAATGTAGATCTATGTTTGCTCGCGAAGCACTCTGAACGTAGATCTACGTTTTTTTTTTATGTTCTTTCTTAGGGAGAAAATCAAGGTCGGAGCACTACGTTCACAAACGTAGATATACGTTTGGACAGTTTAAGGGTTAAAGGGTGATATTCATTTTTAAAAAATCACTGGGATGTGTTACCTGTCTTTTTCTTATCCATAAATGACTGAGTCTTATAATTTACCTGTTGTATCATAAGGGTGAGGCACTGGTGAGCTGCTTTATTTTCATGAAGATCTCGTTGTTCAGGAGTCCCTGCTGCCCTACGTCGCAGTGGGCTTGACCCAGACCCACCAACGTTTAAGTGGAATAGTGATGGTGCTAGACACACAGCCAAGTTGCTGGCATGCATCTGTAAAAATATAGGATTAGTTATAATTTTTTTTTTTTTTTTTTATATTTTATTAAAAAAGTTCATCACAGCACATAAAAATAACAAAACAGGTCTTATCTGTCAACAAATGTAATAAGTGTTCCATCAGTGAGTTTGCAAAGTGAAACTATTATCTTAATACCTTTCTGATGTTCATTTATCAAGTGCATTAATTTTTGTGCAGATATCCTGGATTTTTTTTAAAGTTCTATTTATTAAACTAGCTTAAGAAATAAGGCACAAAATTTTAATGTGCTTAACTGAATTGGATGACTGGAAAACAACCCCAACAACCTTTTTGTGATTGCCAGTAGAACATCCAGTGCAATATCAGTTATATTAGAGACAATATAGCAAACTCCTTATTTCTGCCTACGTCCACGCATATCAAGTAACAGATTCTATCAGAATTTTATGACTTAAAAATGTCCTTCTGCCCTTTGTGATTCCTAACAGAATATTCACTGCAATGCACTATGTTTCATTAGTACCAACACAATAACCTGTCCTTTAATTCTGTCTCAAATCTCTCTACATCAAGAAATTGTGTTTGGTGATATACCTGATTGAGATGTGAGTTTAGCTGCAACATCTCTAGGAAGGTTAGAAAGCCATGGAGCACTTCCCTGTTCTCATCTGGCAATAATAAAACTGCACATTGCAGGGGCCCCAAGACATGTTTAGCAGGTAAGTCTGAGAGAAACAACAAGCTATTAAAAAATAAATGTTACATAAAATGTAAAGCTTAGCATATATAAATTTTTTTAAAAAAAATGCGTACATGACAACAACTAACATTATGATAAGTACATACATCTGTATCAGCAGAATACAAAATTACTATTATATTCTGAGGAAACACTAAAACCCAATAGGGTCATTCAGTTCCTGGGGATTGAGAGATATCTGGATATAATCCAAAGAAGAGGATACCTCTTGAGTTCATAGATCAAAAGCCTTTCAAGTACATCAAGGGATCCTCCTTGAAGAAAGCAGTATAAAAAAAAGGTTATAAACATTGAACAACATGTCTGCTAAAGACTTCCAAAAATCATACTAGGACCCACTTAGTGGTTAAGCAACTGTTGCCATACTAATGCAGGGTTTTCACCCACATAAAAAAGCAACCCATAACATACACATCTAGTAAATGTAGTTATAATAATATGGTGGGTAATAGATATGGTAAATAAGTACTATTGAAATAAATTAGTTAACCAAGATATACACTTCATCTATAACTAGACTTGCATTTTAACCCTTTCACTGTAGATACTCCCCAAATTGAAAACCTCTTCTGTGTCAGTATTTTTGAAAATACATAAAATTATTTTAACTTCTATAATGGTAGAGGATCTTTTTCTAAAGGTAAAGACAACAAATTCATGCAGGCGTGAATATGGAGGTCATGGAGCACTTGCACACCAGCAATTGTTGCTCAATTTCAGTAAAATTTTAGGCCAATTTCAGTTCTCAAACTGACCTAATTCACAGCTATTTGTTTAGTATGCTTTTTGTACTATCCAACAATCACAAGAAATTGTCAGTTTTTATTTTTTCAATAAATTCCAATTTACAGTGTCTGAAACAAACACCGTAGACATTCCGGCCGCTAAAGCAATCAAACTGCCAGGCTTCTCCTATATAACACTTGCCCTCCTATCTGAATCCATTGTCACACCAAAATTCTGTTTTTTGCCCCTATTTCTCAACTAATAAACTACAAACAAGTATGTTTTGTCACAGTTTAGGCCATCCCAATAACTGAAGCAAAATTAGTAATTACCCTTAAGACAGACCTGTTGGGGGATAATACTGGAGATCTCCCCCTAGTCTTCTCTGATAATACATATCTCAAAAAATCTATATGTAATTTCTGCCACTCTGACACCTATTTCAGGCCACTTCTGGTCTGAAACCAACTACAATCTTCTCCATTTCACTAGCATGTCTTCCAGTCTATCTATTGGCACCAAGAAACAGTCATTAAAACCATATTTAAGCCTTATGATTAGTTGCCCAAAATTCATTGCTTAATTAGTGGCTTTCTTTTGTAACTAAAACTGTATTAATTCTTTTAACTGCATACATTATTTGTATGGCATAAAGAAATAAGCATTATTATTATTATTATTTAAACCAAACACAAGGTCACAGGTTTGTCGTTCCGATCATGTTTTTAAGGTACTGCACATACCCATTACACAGAATATACACTGCATGGGGCATTATTTTTTTTATTGCTGCACACACCTCACAAATACATTCTATTATGTCTAGGCCAAAATTTACCACTCCCAACAAAATCTGAATTATGCTTAGATCTACATCAACAACACTGATCCCACTGATGCAGCTCTATGTGACCAACAGTGAATAGGTTAAGCAGATTAACACATAAAAGTTATAATATGCTTATTATCTTACACAAATTTGGAAGATTCAGGATGAGACTATAACCAAGAGGTTGGAGGTTAGACTTAGATTAATAATTTACATGAGGGTCACCTATTTCTGTCCAAGTTTTAACATATGAGACCCTTCAAGAGAGGCACCTTGATGTTAATAAAGTGTTCTTGATCCAATGAATTGGCACCACCCTCCCCTTCCTTGGACTGATTCTGATTACCTCCTATTCCTAAGATGCTGTATGACTCTTATTCATCTGTATCTTTCCCCATGAATATAATAATATCGTATGAGAGATGGTAAGGGACTACAGTAAATGATAAAAGTATTCATCAAGACATGTTGAATAAATACATAGTACTGTACTATTCTGGTTACTGATTTTTACTGGAAAAAATACAAGGAATCATGTGGTAAAGAAAGTAAATAAAATAATTTGCAAGTACAGTAGGGCCCCACTTTACGGCGTTCTGCTAATACGGTCACTTCAAATTATGACCAAAACTCGCTATACGGCTCCCCCCACCTGACTTTCTAATACGGTCACCGTGCTGAACCCGGTTTGTTTACATTCTCTATGAGATCCGTAAGCACTAAGTCTCTCCATTTTGTCTGGAAACTCCAAAATTTCAAGTGTTTTTAAAAGTTATTTCATATTTTATATATACCCTGATAATTATACTTATGTATACCTATACCTAAATAAACTTACATACCGTGCTGACGTGCAGGTACACATTAAAATCAGTGTCTTATGTCTCGAGACGTCATATTAGTAATGATAATCATCGAGTCTCATTTAAATGTCGTATATTACGTTAATACGTATACACATTTTCATTAATCCGTCTATGATATTTTTTCAAAATTATATAATAAACAGGATGCATAGCATATAAATATAATAAATACACCCCACAGTAGAATAAATAAACAAATATGAGATGTGGTAGCCAGATAACTTGTACAAGTGATGGCAAGAATAACATTTTCTCTAGTCTAACATAAGAGAAAATGTGTTACTGGGAGTAACTGTAGAAAATTATTCTTTTCGTATGTATGTAAGTAAGTTTATTCAGATATACACAAATACAGTTACATAGATTATCATACATAACAGCATATGTGTAGAGAACCTGGGATAACCCAAAAAAGTCATAATGCTTTATTTCCATTGCCTTCACTCAGAGCATCATTTCTTCTCAAAATAATGTTACATGAGAATGGGAGTGTTCTTCTTTATTTATTCTACCGTATCAATGTAGAGACAACTTGTACACAATGTAACTTGTACACAAACTAGACGTGTACACTTTCTTTGTTTACAAAACTTACGTTCGCCTGGTTTGTTTACATAACTCTGCGCCTGTCCTCTCTCATGTACTTATTCTCTCTCTCTCTCTCTCTCTCATTTATTCGTTTTATCTCGTTTACTTACTCCTGACCCTCCATTAAGACTACAAATATTTTATGGTAAGAAATGAGTGAACTGTATATGCATTTTATTGCTCTGGGATGCTTAAATATCATAGAATAGTATGTGTGGGTGGGGTGGCCTGGTATGGTAGCCCGGCTGACTACCATACGTACCACACTTGATCTCTTACAATAAATACTACTCATTTCACCCTAGATTAAGACTACAAATATTTTAAGGAAAGTAATGAGTAAACTGTATATGCATTTTATTGCTCTGGGATGCTTAAATGTAATAGAATATTATGTGTAGGTGGGGTGGCCTGGTATGGTAGCCCTGCTAGCTACCATACATACCACACTTGATTTCTTACAATAAATACTACTTGTCTCACCCTAGATTTAGACTATAAATATTTTAAGGTAAGTAATGAGAGCACTATGTGTGTATTGTACTTTTTTATTGTTTTTTGATGCCTAGTTCTATTGCTAACTTAATATATGTTAGTGTAAACTTGTTATCTAGTATTTGTATGCATTTATAAGGGGAAAAAAAGGGCTTCCACTTTATGGCGATTTCCGCTTTACGGCGGTAGCCTGGAACCTAACGTGCCGTATAAGTGGGGCCCTACTGTACTTGTGATTACCAATTGTAACTTACAAGAAACAGACTTTTAGAAAATGTTATCTCCTTTTGAAAAAATTCTGAAAGTGTTTTGGAATTAGTGATTTTTCTGAAATGAAATACAGAATTTTCTGAATTATGGAGAGTACTGTATTCTAGAAGCAGAAGTTTCATTTTAAGAATTTTCAATAATGGTACAAGTAAGAGAAATTACAGCACAAAAATATTTTTACATACACTGGAAGATTGCAATAAACATTTCTGAAAGCTTGTTTGTAAGCAGAACTTCAGGTAATTCCCTGAAGTATGTCTTGACCATATCAGCGATGTCACATGTACCAAATGCTGAATACTGGATGTCTTCCCCTGATTCATGAAACTCTCTTAGTTTTTGAATTCGAGAACGAACTCCAGGTTTTCTGAATATACCAACCTAAAAATAAGATTAATAATTTTAGCTATAACACTGATTAGAAATATTATATAATTTTAAGAAGCTTATATGAATATGACAGTTAATTAAAAAAGTTTGAACTTTCAAAAGCATCCTAAATTATCAGACCTTATTAAAGTCACAATCAGGTTTTTCCAGAGCCCTCATAAAATCTTAAATAAAATATAAGCACTCTTAATTATTAATTACAGTACATACTTGATCTAAACTGGTTGCTCTGAGATACTGGAGTGCAGCTTGAATACCGGGAGGAAGTGGCTGTCCTGTCCGCTGGGTGATCACCAAGAGAGGCACGCCAAAAACTTGTCTATCACGATAATCAGGCGTTTTAATTTTTCTCATAAACTTTGGCAGTTCCCAATTCCATCCACTACGATTAGTTGGACAGTAACGCTCCATAAGTGCTGTTAGTCTGTCAGAATGAGCAAGAAGATTCACATAGTACAAATACTCCATGAACGTACATATACCCTTCATACTTAAAGTTATTTTATGGATACTAATAACAAAATTTGTACCTCACGATTTTCAATAATACTGTGGACTCTAACAGAATTGCAGGACCACATTCACCTATGAAGTCAAATAATCTATATTTCTTCCAGGAAATTAATACTTCTGTCTCCTCGAATATGCTTACCTTAGAAGGGCTCTTTTTCGCAAATGGAGCATTTGACCTGCACTGAAACCGTTTATTTGTGTGCCCAAATGCCGCGAGCAAGGTGGGTATGACTTTCTATTAAAACTGTGCCATCTGTCTACTGTAATTCTGTAAAATAAATACAAATGTTAATCATGTGACAGTGACTGCTAAGGGTTTTTATCAGAAACTGTCTAAATAAAAACACTGTTAAATTACAACAATACTGCCTTGAATGCCAATTCATGTCTTAAACAGTATTTTCATTATTCTGCAAGTCTCAACAATATACTCTATTCCAATGTTCTTGATACTTATAATGTCAAGTACACAAACAACCTACACATAGGAGACTGAAATTTATGACAATGTTATTTGTGTATTCTACCCAGTCATGGTACTGTGTCTTTTAATTCTTTATACTGCCAAGTATTAAATATTAGCTATGTACCAATAATAACTACATTGATACCTTGTGATAATTCACCTGTACAATACAATGTAAAGTCACTTATTTTAAATTAGTTAACCCATACTTTCAACATTGTAATTGTTTATTTTAAGTTGTAGTGTGCCTTCGTTATTTATCTCATGATCATTCAGTACTGCTTCAACAAACGATCAAGCAGTCAAACACCTACACAGTACAGCATTATAAGATGCATCTCTCTCTCCTCTCTCTTCTCTCTCTGACTTGTTTAAACTGCTAGATGAGAACCGTAACATAAATTCACCTTCTCTGACAAGGTTCGTCATTTTCATCATCGTCATGTGTGGAAGGTAATGGCGAATCTCCACTTTCAACAGTGCACTCGCTGCTTCCCGAGCCTTCGGGGACGCTGGCTTCTGAAAACATGTAGACTACATCATAATAAGACATAGTGTAGATGTTTGGTATACAAAAGTGATGAAGATAAATTAAGTTACAGCCAAAAC